GAGAGCTCCTTCCCCTTACCCTACTCTATGGGCTTTGTGGCTTGCACTGCTCAGCCCCATGGTTGGGGAGGAGACTCCTTGGGGTGCTAATCCAGGCCAAGCCGTGGCTCCAGTGAGCACCAGGAAGGTTCCTCCTGGTAACTCGCGTGGGTGCTGCACAAAGAGGGAGCAGCTCCATGGGGCTGAGGTTCCCTGCCCTCATTTGCAGTGGCTCATGAATATTGCAGGTGGATTTTTCCCATCCCGCTCCGTGCCTGCAGCCGATTCCAGCGTGAAGAATTCACAGCGAGTTCCAGGGCCCGGCTCCCGCCGCTGCTTCTGCCTCTGCTTCTCCCCTCATTTGGGTGCTGGGGACTTGGACCCGTGCAGGGTCTGCTTTCAGCACAGGGGTTGTTGTGTAGAGATCAATCCCAGCAGAGCGGTGCAGCACTAACAGTGTGTTGGGAGGTGACGGCATCAAAGGTTTTTAGTACTGGCTTTAGTGTTGTTACTGCAAGGCATGCTTGATGTTATAGCCTAAAAAAGGCCCACACAGGCCCCTTTGTGTGGGCTACTATGAATGCACAAGAGAGTGGGATCCAGAGAGGTACATACAGCGTGGAGGCTGGATAACTGGTCCCAATAGGCTCAGCCCCAAACTGCAGTTGAGCATCCCCTCTGCAGTGGAGGCGACTGAGAGCCTATGGGTTATGGGGAGAGCAAAAAGGAGCTGGTGTCCTTATTTTGAGCATACAAAGCTGAAGCACAAGGAACTTAAGGCTGGAACTGAGTTCCAAGTGAGTGAGCTCAATGTGCTGGGTGTGTGGAAGATGCTAAACTCTCTTGAAAAGCCAGCCCTTGGCTGCTGTGTGCTATGAGACCTGACCACTGCTGCGGGAGTCCTGTATGTTGGCTAGGAGGCTAGGCTGTGTTTTCTTTGTTTTCTCCTCTGTTCAGGTCATCTCATGGGTTTTCTCCTGTTACGAAGCCTCCTCACAGATTGGGCCTGGGGAGCAGGGATTTTTGGATGAGCTTATTTATAAAACATGCCTGGAAATTCACTGCAGCACTTTGACAGGATGCAGCCGCTGAAGGGATTTGGGGCCACGTCTCTCAGTGATAGCTGCAGTAAGTAACATGGAAAATACATTACTCCAGTGCACTTCAGGACAGGGAGAAATAGGTTGAGTGTATGGCAGAGAGCTGCTCATCTCTTTGTCCATGCATGAACAGATGTATGAGAGATCTGTATGTGCAGCACAGAGTGCGCTTGAGGTCTGTCCTTACCTGTACTGAGGCTCGCTAGGGAAGTCCTCCAGCCTTCCACGATGGATTTTGACTTCGGGAGGGGGATGCCTCCACTTCCAAAGTCCTGCCTCAGTCGTGCTATTCTTTGCATTCATCCTGTTGCCCGGTGCTGTGCGCTCACATCTGTTTTGTCGGGCTTGTGATGCTCTGGTCCTGGGTGCGGTGGCTTAGACCAACCCTATGGGCATTGCCTTCCCTTTTCTAATAGCTCTTGCAGACACATCTATCAATATTTCAGCCTCTTTTTTTCCCCTGGACCTTCCAAAGGCTGGAACCACGCATTAGGGGGGGTTATTTATGGCTCTAATGTCACCAATAGCCTCTTAATAACTGTGCCACCTCTCTGCAGACTGCTTTCAAGTGATCCAGGACCCAGGGTAGACATTGGCAACCTGCGCACCACCCCTGTCCCTTTCCCAGCGCCTCCCATTTCCCTGGCACCAGAGGAAGAGGGGAATGACCCAGCACTGCTGCGCTCCATAAGGTTATAAATAAACTGGTGGCTAAAGCCTGGCGCTTCTCAGTGCAAAACAGGGAGTAGCTGGCGGCTGGGGTTCGCATTTCCTGATGCTATCAGATGGTGGCAAAGGAAGAGCCGTTTGTTTCTGATACTGGAGAGCCATTAGGCCCAGTTGGGGGTAGACAGACATGTCTAAATCCTTACTGCCTGTCAGCTAGGAAACCTTCAGTATTTCCATGGGATTTCACTGATTTGCATAGAAGTGGATCCAGCCTGAAGCCTTTCGTTCACTTATTTAAGACAGTGATGATTTATGGAGGAGGAGGAGGCTATAGAGATCCTAGATTCATAGAATAGTTAGGGTTGGAATTTAGGATCGTCTAGGTCCACGCATAAGGAAGCAAAGAGGGAAGAAAACTGTTAATTCCAAGTTACAAGTGATAAATACTCCTTTTGCTAAGGGCTGGTAGGACAAGAGATTGTCTTGTGGTCACTAAAACCTGGATCAAGGAGGGCTGCTTCTTGCTGCAGAGCTTCAAGCTTGCCCTGCCTGTTGGTGTCACGTTTGAAGGGTTGGGTTTAGCCTCTTTATTAGTTGTCTGGTGCCTTTGTGTCTGAGAAGCTGAATGTGCTCTCATTTCCTCACTCTTCCTGGCTGATGGCATCCTTGTTAATGTCTCCTGAATCTATAGCCCAAGGTCAGAGGATGCACTAAATGCAGAATTGATTCGTTTGAGGTGATAGCAGGCATCCCATAGCAAGCAAGAGGGATTTCTTTCCCATACCCCATTGCCCTCTAATGGCCAGTGTTGAATTTGCACAGCGAAGTGGACGATTCAGAGCGCCAGATAGGGAACGACTGGAGAAACTGGTGTGTACTGGTAGTGCCTTATTTCCGAGAACCCCCCCAAAACTGTTAACAGCAAAGACTGGTTTGGGGTGCAAAGGGCAAAAGGTTTGCTCCTTTTTGGTAGCACCATCCCTTGGAGATGGAGGGAGGGAAAAGAGGGATGAAAGAGGGTGTTAAATTCAGAGGTTGGAAAGAAACAGGAAAAAAAGGCATTTTTGTGTTCCCATGAGTAAGGGGAGATGGAGCAGTGCTCACTCGTACTAAACCAAACACCCACAAGCAGTGGTAAACTGCTTTGCTTTTGGGTTGGGAGCTAGAGAAGGGTCCATATAGCTCCTGCATAGCAGGTCCGAATTTGGTCCCTTCTGATTACTATGTGATGCTGAGAGGTGGGTTCACTGCTCTGCTGTACCATGTGCCTGGCAAATCCTGCTGAGCAAGGAAACCTGACCCAGGAATAAGGGAATAGCTGCCCCCAGATCAAACGGTTGCCATTGTGTGAGACTACAGAGGGAGATGCATCTGGTGATGCACTCACCCTCTGGGGCTATGCTCCTGACAATTGGAGCGCTCAACTTGTTTCCAGTGTTCCTGGGTTCACTTTTCTCTTGCAGTAGAGGCTTTTTAACAGTAGATGTCACGTTTGCATAAGGGAACAATAGATTGTCACCCCTTCTGTAGGCTGGCAGCCACAGAACCTGCTCCAGAACATGCTGTCGCCTGCCCTAGGGATGCTGGAGCCAAGAGAAGCTGTAAATCATGAACTATAGGTGCGTGTTCCTGTGTATTTCTCCTAGGCTGGTACCGCAGGTCACTGCTCAGGTTGCATGGGTGCTGTCAGAACAGCACTTGTGCTCTGCTTGGGTGCTGGGTGCAGGTTTTACCTGCTGGAAGTGTTCAGGAGCTGCATGATCTTAAGGCTCTTTCCAGCCCAAACCATTCTATGGTTCTCTAACCCTTATAAATCTAATTCAGCTTTCCTAGCTAACATGGCAGGGATTGTCGGTACGTGTGAATAACCCTTTAGGTCCGAATTTGGAGTTGTAGGGATTTGGCAATGTTCTAAATGATCCCACTTTACACTGTTCTCATGTGCTCCATGTGCAAACTGATGATCTTCGAAAAACCAAGCCACCTACCTCCAGTGTAGATACAGTACTTTTAATACAGAAATCTTTGTAAATACATTCATTACAGTCCATAAAAAACAAGTCCTGAATCTTCACACCATACAGATAGACTAAAATCCATAAAGAAGCATTTCTCTAATGGGGAAGAAAGCTATACTCTTCCAATACAATCTATCCTAAACCACAAAGACCCACCTCGCTCCTCAAGCTGTAATTTCATCACATCAGTGTTTTGCAACACATAAAGTACTTGATTGGCAACCCCAAAGCAAGCCTAGAATAAGAAATTGGGGGTTTTAGTATTCATTTTGGTATCAGAGACGGTGGATCTGCAGCATGCAGCTGCAGGAGGGGCACTGTACAGAGCAAGGCTCTGCATTGGAAATGCATCTGTACAGTTGTGTTTTCAGCATCCGAGCAGGGTGATGTGGATCAGGGTTTCAGCAGGGGAGAGCTGGGTTGTGAACCTGTAGAAGGTGTCAGGTCCTGCATGCACTGGGCTCTTTTAGGTCCTGGTAGACCCTGGTGAGAACCAGGCCCAGGCTGGGGTTGGTGTGCACAGTGCTGGCCCAGGGCCCCAGTGCTGGTTTGGAAGTCAAAGTGATCTTCTCCAGCAAAGCCCCTGTGCCCAAGGGCTGGAAACTGCCTTCCTGAGCCACCCTGTAATTGATTTGGGTCCGTGTTTGGATTTTGATCCTGATCCAAACCCAAATCCAGTTCAAACTGGACTGTCTGTAAAATCTGGAGTGCTTTTGGTCCAGGGCAGTTTTGTTTCTCTCTTTTATTTCTTTTTCTTTATTTTCTGGTAAAATTTTTATTCCTTGAAAAACACTTTTGTGTGCTTAAACTTGAAACTCTTGATGCCAACCCCTGATGAATATCATCAGTGCCAAGGGTAACAATAGCATCAGTGCCAGCACCCTCACAGTACCATTAGCATCAATGCCAACAGTATCATGCACATCTATGCCAGCAGACCAATAGTGGCAACAGTGCTGATGCCAACAGGCATGAGCGAATGAAGACCCCCTCAGTCATAAGCCATCACGCAAAGCCTCATGCTGTGATGCTGTCCCATAATAACACCCCCCAGTGCCCAGCCTGGTTCTCATTAGTGACTTTACAACAACGCCCGCTGGCGCAAGAGGAGTTAGATGAGAACACCAAGGTGTGTGTATCTTGGAAGGCAGAAATACTTGGCTATCTCTGGAGCCATGGGGCAGATGAACTCAGTGATGGAGTTTGTTGACTCTGCCTTTCTAAACCCTGGTGGCAGCTGGAGCTCTCCTTCCACTGGCACAGCCAGAACGCTGGGAGCACTTGTAAGCAGCAAGTGGCTTGGCTCCTGCGTGCTTTGCTTTGGAGCACGTCCCCAGCTCCACCTGCCCAACAGAGGAATCTTGTGTCACAGGTAACCTAAGGGATTAATAAGAGAATTCGGTCCAAAAGGATCTTTCCAGAATCAGTGCGTTTCCAGTGCATAATCTCATTATTCCAAGGCGGGTTCAGGTTTGAGGACACAAACTGTTCTCCAATGAGAAGGATTTTCCTCTTCCCAGAACCTGCACTCGAAGGACAAGGCCTGGTCTGGTGTTGAAGAGGGGGCTGCAGAGATCCAGAAATGGAGTTTACACTTCACAAGCCTGGCTCTGTACTTCCCTGATGAACTCAGGTCTGTGCCCAGGAAAGCTGTGTAGGTGCAGAGCATCCCAGTGCAGCCACCTCTTGCAGCAGTGGCCTAGGAGTTAGGATGTGCTAGGCAGCTTTCACAGCTTACTCCCAGTCTACACCTTGGTGCAAGCAGCAGTTCTGCTTCTGTTTGCTTTTGGACAGTAGCATGGTGGCATCACCAAATTGTTCCTTGCTCTTTGCAAACCAAGCCTGTCCTTTCAAAGCTGTCAGTTGGTTGTTCTTGTATTAAAGAGCACAGGAAGGCATTCTTGGTTGTCTTTGCAGAAGTGGAGGAATCAAGGGGCAAACAACTTGTCCCTGAGGATTTCAGGTATCTCCATCACCCCAGCTTCAGAAGCTTCATACCCTGGGGTTCATTGGAGGTTTTAAAGCCTACATGAAAAAGGAAAGAGTTAAATGACCGCATGCTTGGTGCTCTTTCAATGAATTACATCCCGAAAGAGCTGCTGCTCACATTTAAGCTCAGGTTACCTGAGGTGGAGGTGGAGGTGGACGTTTGCCTTTGGGGACTGGAAGATGAGCTGGCTTTCTCTCTGGTACCTGAATAGAAATGAAGTTTAAGTGTCATTAGGCTTCCCTGCCTGAGCAGCTGCAGAACCCCCCAGCCTTCATCTGCTCCTACTGTTCTCATGTATTTCCTACAGCATTCTCCTAGTGGAAAATCTATGGGTGGATTAGATTAATCCCTCCACATGCAGGGTGTCACCCATAATGCACAGTGGGTATAGAGCTCCTGTTTCAGAAAACCACGGAGCTGTTCTCAGTGTTTAGCTTCATCTGCATCAAGTATCCATGCTCTGCTTGGGAAGTTAAAGCTGGTTATGTGCTGAGGAGAGCATCTCCAAAGGCAGGGGGATATGCAGCTGATATGGGGTGTTTAGTCCTGATCCATCATTCTTTAGGCAGGCAGTAGCATGCAGTTACATTTCTGGTCTGAAGATGGTTTCTGTACCCTTGTGTCAGATGGGCAGGGGGCTCAAACGACGAGATGGTAGATATTTGAGGGAGTCATTTTCATTAAATAGGATGCTTTGGGTTTATTAATGGCAAATATTTGTATTCCAGATATTTGTGAGAATTCCAACTATATTTATATATATATGCACATTGATGGAGATCCCCTCACAGGTGGCATCTTTAGAGAGCTACCACAAGACAGGGACCACTGCAGTAGCAAAGGTGCTCATCGTTTGTGTTGTGTTTCCACCTGAGATCCCTGTTGGTTTGGACTCCACGTACTATTGCTTGTGGGATGTTCTGGTGATGGGTTACAGGACCCCTTGGCACAGACTAAGAGTCTCTTGGGCAGTTTAGGATTTTGTGGCACAAAAGGTGGCTCCTACCCTAAAGGATGTGTGGTTTGAATGTCTGTGAGTTAAGGGGGGTTTAATGAGAGTCAAAACTGAAAATCCCAATTGACACCTGATGGTCCTTTGCAGCTCGGATGGAAGGTGTGCAAAGCTACAGGGTTATACTCACAAAGATCTCTTCTGTGAGAGAAGGGGCTGGCTTGGTAGGAGGAACAGGAGGTGGGGGACCTCTTGGCCTTATGGCAGGCTGTAAAGGCAGAGAATACAGGATATGTTGACCCTATATACATCCTGTGAAAGCATGCATCTGTATGTTCCCATGGGAACATGCAGGCTTGTGTTCTGTATAAAAAGAGCACTAATAGGGATTAAAGGATGCATTCTTTTTGGAAGCAGGGATACTTCTTGCTAGCTGGCCCTGGGAAAGCACCCAGGGCCTTATTGGGAGTGCAGGGATTTCTTTAGCCTTTGGGGTTGCGGTTCTCCACCATGGCATGCACTGGTGGGTGCTGCCTTCCCTAAACATGGTGTGGAAGCAAACGCATTGCTGGGAAGGACTTACACTGTGGAGCTGTGGCTTGTTCTCCTGCAGCGGAGGTACAGGGAGGAGAAGTTTCTTGTCGTTCATCTGAAAACAGGGAACAGTTACATCTGATGGAGCCTTTATCTGCTTCAAGAAGACAGGCTGAGAAAGTTGGGGCTGTTCAGCCTGGAGAAGAGAAGGCTGCGTGGAGACCCCATAGCAGCTTCCAGTATCAGAAGGGGGCCTATAGGGATGCTGGGGAGGGACTCTTCATTAGGGACTGTAGTGACAGGACAAGGGTAATGGGTTCAGACTGAAACAGGGGAAGTTTAGATTGGATATAAGGAGGAAATTCTTTCCTGTTAGGGTGCTGAGGCACTGGAATGGGTTGCCCAGGGAGGCTGTGAATGCTCCATCCCTGGCAGTGTTCAAGGCCAGGTTGGACGAAGCCTTGGGTGCCATGGTTTAGAGCGAGGTGTCCCTGCCCATGGCAGGGGGGTTGGAACTGGATGATCTTAAGGTCCTTTCCAACCCAAACCATTCTATGATTCTATGATTATCTTTGCGGGCTGCTTTACTGCACACAGATTACTGTGGGACCCAGAGCCATGTGCTTTCCCCATGCTGGGATTCACAGCACTGCCCTCTGAGCCCCGGACAAGGGGTTTGAAACCCTGCTTGAATTGTAGCACACTTTGATAGATGATTTCTGATATTCCAATCCCTCCATTACAATCCCTAGGGACCAGAGCTGACCCAGCTCTTACCTTCTGGGCAGGTACTGGCAGGACAGGGTGTTCTCTGTGCCTTTGTTCTTGATCCACAAAGACTTGGTTCGTGGCTCCAGGTCCCCTTCTGGTCTGGCAGCTAGACAAAGATTCCATATAACTGTGAATCTTAACCTGACTGAAGCGAAAAGAACTGGAATTCCTGCCTTATTCCCAATGGTGTGTTATGGAGCCATGTCCTTTCTTCCCCTTGATTATTCAGGGTTAATCTTGAGAGCTACAGTTTCAAGGCTTCAGTACTCTCCCAGCTGTGGGATTTCTGTCATGGATCAACTTCCTTGGCTTTCCAGCACCCAATTCCCTCTACCCCCTTTGAGAACCTTTGCTTAAAACCTGTCCAGGAGTTGCTTAGTTTTAGGTTTTGGTTGCATGGGGGGGGTGACTCAATAGGGGTAAGCTTTTTACCTCTTCTTGAACACTCGGGAGCGGATGAGGACCACTGCCGCGGTTGCCGTGACAGCGAGGACAACCAGCACACCAGCGACTATAGCAAAGCCTGGAGGGGAGAGAAAACACAAGTTGCTGTTCCTTAAAAGATCTGCTATTGCTAAGAGTTTTCCTATCACATTGGAGGCAAAGTGGGGTTTGGCACCAGGTCTAGGTCCTGCTTACTGGTAACTGCGGAGGAGCTGTCGCAGGTTGGTGGTGCCCATCCTTCCTCGCACTGGCATTGCAGCTCGTGGTCACACACCTGGGGAAGCACAAATCACTTCAGGATGGGAATGTGAGTGAAGCTCTCAGTGGCTCCTGATAGGATTATTGAAGCTAGGTCTGGAAACTCTCATTTGACTTGCACTAAGGTTTAGCATAGAGAATAGCAGGTTTGTGCAGTAAAGGACAGGCCTGGTTGTCTGCTGCCATGTGCCTTTTGCAGGTGTTTCTGCAGTAAAAGCTACAGTACAAGGCACAAAGCAGCAGTTACACCTGTGGGTCTCTCTATGTTCAAATGGGATGAGCACAGTTTTCTTCCTAAACCAGAAGATGACCTGCAAGAGAATAGCTGTGATTCTGTGGCTCAGAGGCAGGGCCAGGCACAGCATCTGTGTCCATGCTCTATCAGGTTAGATTTGCTTGCATAGAAATATAGAAAGCTTCTGACTCCACAACCTTTGCAAATCCCTATCCCAGTGATCTAAATACTGTCATCAGTAAGTTCTGTAGCTGATGTGCATGATTTCCTTGTGTATTCTAAGTTAATAGCAACAAGCACTGGTATCTTACAGCATGTCCAGGACACTTGGCAGAGCAGTTGGTTGACCTAAAGACATCTTCAATGTAGACACATTCTCCATTGCTGCACACCTGAAATGCACAGAGCAAATGATAACGAAGTGATCTACAGCTTTCAGAAGAGGCAGAGCTTGCACTTCATTGCGTAGAGTGATGGGGAGTAAAAGGAGGCATAGAAGCAGGTCTGTAAATCACTAAAAGCTACATTAGGAGTCTGAGATGTGGATGTGATTTTTCACTTGACCTTTGGATCTCTTATAGCAAAGGGGAGTGACAAAGATGTCCAGATATCACTGCTTTCCACTCCTCTTCAGTCCTTCACCCTGCCCTCCCCTCCCAGTAGAAATATACAGTAAAGGAACTGGGAATAGCACTCGGTGATGCTTAGCACAACCATTATGGAAAGAATGAAGAGTATAATACAAGTATGATCTTTTAATCTTCATAAAAAGGTTTGTTCCTATTGCCATGTGTATTTTTGTCAGTAAGAAAATAAGCCAGCAGTCAAGCATAAGGGAATGGGAAAGAGTCTGTTTGCTTTGCTGCTCGTTTGTGAGAGATGTAAGGCAGAAGATCTAACAAATCAGATCAACAGAAGTGTCCACTTCAGTCTTCCCAGGTTAAAATCTCCCTTGTCTGGTAAGAGGGCTGAGGATATAAGCAGCAATGAAAGAGAGGACACAATAAGGAGTAAAGCTGGTTTGTACTGACCATCCCGTTCCCGCACTTGGTTCCATTGAGAATCATCCCTGGGTCTGCTTCTCCATTTCGAGGGAAACTTGCTTTGCAGGACTCAAAAGTCACCAGGCTCCCATCCCGGGGCATCTCGTTCCCCCCGGTGCAGAACAGCTTCCCACACATTGTGTCTCTGGAAGGAGAACAAGAGCTGCAGTGGAACAACGGCACAGCACTGCAGGACTGTTGGAGCTGGTCTCTCCCCTAGCTGGAATTTGGTGTGTGCTGGCACTCCTAAGAAAGGGATTTTGGTTTCGGGTGCTCCCAGGTTGGTTTGTGAGCAGAAAGTGGCAGGTTCCTGCTTCCTCTGGAGCCCATGAGGGAGCCCAAAATGGGTTGCAGAAATGAGTTTTTAACTGTCCTCAGCTTCGGAGGTTCACCTGAGGTCCAGGTTCCCTGTCCAGAAATCCCTTCCTTGTACTTAACTGCACTTGCACACACACGCACGCAGGCTTGCACACCTGTATGTACACATACATGAGATACATCCATATAGGATACACATACATGAGAGCTCTAGCTCTTTCTCAGACTGATCTCATGATTTAGAAACCAGTTTTCTTAGAACTGGCTTTACCACGTCATTCAACCTGACCCACAAGGGACACGTTGGTGCTGTCTAAAACAGCGCGCTCTTTGCTTCCGCCTCTTAACCAGAATGGGAACGGTCTCCTCCCGGATCCCAGCAGATTCCATAGCACAGTGCTTACTTTTTTTCACATGGGACGTGACTGCCTTTTTCTTTCCTGCAGTATCCATAATATACCCCTTTCTCGTTCATCCGGTAACAGGAGGCTGCGCCTTCGGTGGCCTCTGTGATAGAGGAGAATTCAGTGGGGTTAGTTTGGGTTCTCTGCCTGTGAGACCTCACAACAGTCAGTTCCCTTTACCTGGGTAGGAAATAGCCTTTCCCAGTGAAGTTACCCGTGGGCCTAATGACCCTCTGGCCCTATATGCATTAATTCTGCAGCGTTGCTGTATGCACCAAGCAGAGCGTGTCCTGTGTTCTCCCTATGGACCAACAGACCTCTCCTAAGAGAAGGGACGTAGTCAGGACTGGAGATGGTTTAGGACTGGGAAGGGGATAAGCCACCGCACACCTTCAGAAACATAAAGGCATGCTGAATTCAAGCACTAATTTAAAATACAGGCATTTCCTCTTCCTAAGAAGCAAAGAGCCAGCTCCACTTCAAAGTTCCCTTAAAAGCATTGTGCGAAAGAGGAATACGCTTCCCACTTCCCATTTCTCTAGAAAGAGTTGGTATTGTATGTTCTGCACTCTTGCTCAGTGATTATAACCGCTTAGGATTGCATATAGAAATAGCAACTGAGTAGATGCTACAAACTAGAAATCATATCCACTATATAAAGCATGAAGATGCACTGTTCCGCTTTGCAAAAGGCCTTTGATTTGCCTGCAGGCAAAGCCTTTCCCTTTATCCCTCCGTTGACCGATGCAGACTGATTTTCCCAGTCCCAGGCTGTACTCACGTGCTCCAAAAGCAGCTTTGCACTGGTTTTCCCGAGTGGGACACTGTCCCATGTAGCAGTAGCCCTCGCCGTAGTTGCAGGGATGCCCGTTGACGCGGAATCGATCTGCTGGGCAGTGCTCAGAGAAGCCAGTGCACATCTCAGCCAGGTCACAGTCGTGCTTAGCTGCTCTGCAGACAGCTCCTGACTGCTTGTACTGCAAGGAGGGGGAAGCAATGCTGCACTTGAACACATGCTCCTCTGTGCTGTTTAAAGAGCCCACTGAACCAAGGGTTATATTAGGGGAGACAAATCTCAGCCTCGCTGCGCAAGATGCCCGAGGAGCCAGATCCGTGTCTGATTTAAAGACAAGGGTTTTGCCTCATTGTGCCCCAGCTTTTCTTTCCAGGAGGAACTGGGTAATCAAACCACTCCTTTGTCCAGGATGGAGAGAATTGGTAGCTGTGGTGTGGTTTGGGATGGACAAAGTGCTCTTTGATTAAAGGGCTGGGTCAGTAATCACAATTAAAAGGGATTGGCTCTTTTAAGAGGTCCATGACTGCTTTCCCATGGGGGGAAACCCACTGTACCCTCAAAACTGTGGGAAGCTGGAGCTGGGGAGGAGCCTTACCTGGCAGTTTTCACAGCACTCTCCATGTGCACACGCGGAACCTGCCGTCAGTTTGCATGACTCGGGCTCGCAGCACTCGTTTGTGCACTCCTGTGGCAGAATCAGCAGTCAGAGCTCTGCGCTTCAGGGTTGGGTCCTCTCTGCACTGCATTCCCAATGGCCTACCCTGAACTTGGTTACTGAGGGAAAGGGATCCATTAGGCTTGCACTTGGCTTTCCTGGGAACCATGTTCGCTGGAAGCCAGGCCAGTCGCTGTGGGCGAGCACATAAAGGATACCAAGTGTGCTGGGTTGTGCAAGTGCGGATGGAAGTTGTGCAGGGAACTTGCTTATTTCTGCTCAGACAGTTTTGTATGTGTGGCTTTTCCTCACTCTCAGTTCCTCTCTTATAGAATCGTGTAGGTTGGAAAAGACCTTTAAGATCCCTGAGCCCAACCGTTAACCCAGCACTGCCAAGCACCACATCCACAGGTCTTAGGGATGGTGACTCCATCACTGCCCTGGGCAGCCTGACAACCCTTTTGGTGAAGAAGCTTTCCCTAATATCCAGCCTAAACCTCCCGTGTTGCAACTTGAGGCCATTTACCCAACGCAGCACAACAAAGCATGCTGTCATCTTTCCCACTCCTTGGCATGCACTGTATAGGGTGGCTGCATTGCAGATCAGCAATTCAATGCTCACAGTTTCTACCATAACATTTCAGCTAGCTTTGAAGTGCCTGCTTGAGAAACTACCAGAAACCAGCTCCTAAACAGCCTGAACAAAGCTCTTTGCCCCTTCCAAGCCTTGTTTTGTTCCCCTTTATGCGGATACCTCAGGAGTACCACAGTCGCATTCCTCTCCTTTCTCCACAAAGCCATTCCCGCAGGATGGAGGTGCTATGATGCTGTTTTTATCTGGGATGTCAGTTAAGCATTTGGGCATGTCGCTTAGCATGTATTTCTCAAAACTTTGGAGGCTGCACGAGCTGAATTTCTTGGGGATGATGGAACTGTATTGAGAAGGCAGAAGGGTTTATGTTAGGGTGGGTGTAAGCAAGGGGAAGCAATACTCTTTACAAGAGAAATTCAACAAGTGACCATCCCTATTGAGTGCAACCATTTATTTATATATATATATATATATATTGATAAGTACAATGGTTACCTTCCATGGGGAAAGAAAAGTGGAAACAAGCAGATGAGAAATACTTAATGTGCTGCATGTAAAGACTGCATGTTATAAATGTAAAGATATGAGCCTGGTTTATACAGACTGTGCGTGGATGCTTCATGCATTAGGAGCTTTCCATTAGGACATCCAGCAGCGGCTCAGGATGTTCAACCAGGGGTGAAAATTGAGCTGAATTCCTCTCTAATGGGTGTTTATTGCAGGTACAAACACCTGATATGGTTTTCATGAGAGTCATCAGGGTAGAGAATGACAACATACTGTAGGTTAATGCTGGGGAAGCTCTGTCCTGAGATCCCACAGCCGGTATGTGCTGTCCTCATTGTAAGGGAGGAAGGGTGTATGGTTCAATGTGAAGGCCTCCACCTCATGTGCAAAGCTAATGTTATCCCAAAGTGACTAAAGTTGGGTTTGGGGTTTTTTGGAGGGGCTGTATCTGCCTGGGAATATCTTACAAGGACCTGGAATGTCTTCATTTTTCTCTCTGTATAATTAGAATGGAATAATCCATTAACAATCAATAATTACCAGTCCATTTGGAACCTGGCAGCTTGTCCAAACCCCACCATGAACCGCCCCATGTGTTGGCCCCTTCACCTTTCCATCCTACCTCCTACCTGACAGTGTCTGTCATGATGCAAACTTCGGCGCTGCACGTGCAGGCTTTGGTGTCGTGGCTCATGCCAAGGTTGTGTCCCATCTCGTGGGCCATGGTAGCTGCAACTGCGATTTCGTTTCTGTTGTGGTCCTGGAGAGATAAGAGCAAAGCATTGTTCCTGTGGGCATTGTAGAACAAGTAGGAGCATCTGAGCAACCATCTGGCTAAGAAAGAGGGCAATTCAAGTGCAGCTATACTCGCTGCTACGTAAGGATTGGTGTGGTGTTCAACCCATGAATGCCTCTACTCCGTGCTTTATGCTCTACTATGTTGTAATAGCACTGAGATGATACCACTAATGAACATGAGTAAATTGGTATAATTAGCCTTTAAATTAACAGGAGGAAGTTAAGCTGCCAAGTAACAGCGTTAAGGGGAAGTGAACATCTGAAAGCCTTCATCTTTCTGGATAGATGCCCCTGTGCTTAGGGTAATTACGTGGGTGAGAGATAATTATTGCTTATTACACCAAGGTAACTATTGTGTACAGTGCTGTGTGTGCAAGGTAAGGAAAGGCAGATGCCGTGCTCCATCTTTGCTCTTAGCTTGGCGTTTTGTGCCTCTTGGAGGGAGGAAATGAAAAGTCCTCCTCTTCAGTGAAAGCCAGACAGATAAACCCAGGTGATAGTGGAAATGCATAAAGCACACGACATTATCCTGGTCATACTTTTCCAGCATAGCACTGCAAATCATTCTGCTCTCAAATGCATCCCTGCACCCTGAGAGGTGTTCTGGTTTTATGTTCATCCTATGGTTTCCTAATGGTGTGGGAAAGCTGGAATTTCTTGTGGGTAATTCCTCTTAGCAGCAGCCCAGCCTCTGAAGCTGGGTGCAGTTGAGTTCCCGGTGCTGTTGGTGAAGTTTGGGATCTGTGTTCCTGTTTAGGCTGAAGTTCACATGCAGCAGTTCAGTCAGCTGAAATTAAGTGCTTAAACTGATGGTATTAAATACGACAGAACTCATTTCCCATTTGAAACAGGGAATCTTAAGGTAGAAACACAAACCCACTTATTTCTCTCTTCTAACTCTAATGGAGCCAGGTACTCCAAATATAAGTGTCTGAGATAGATGTTGGCATTTAGATAACCCACACGCACTGTGCTTTGTGTGTGCTTCCATTATCCTATTTTGGATAAACAATTTCATCCAAAATCCAGCTGATTTCACCTCAAATCTGACTGTGGATTTCTACAGTCCACTAAAACAATGACACAAACTGGAGGTGTTGCACACCCGGCTGCTCACGAGCATTCTTTGCTGCTTGAGCAGGAAAACCTTTAGGAATAATAGAAACAAAAAGAAATCAGACCTGAATAATACCTGCAGAATATGTATCACTGCAGATGGACTTGAGAAAGGCTAATCCAATCGTTGTCCCCTCAAAGTCATAGCCTCTGTAAGGAAGAAGAAAGAGTGAAATGCAGTGCTGTGACCAGGGAGCAGATCTGAAGTCAAGCTGGCTTTACTAAAACCAGGTTGAAGGCTTTAAGCATATTCTCATTTCCAGCTCTGGTTTGCATCCTGACTCAACACAATAGTTGAGGATGTGTTTAAAATCACTGCAAATCTAACAGAAGGGAATACTCTTTTCATTTTAGTTCTTAACTTAAAGCATGTCTCAGTTATCGGACTTGAAGCATCTATTTGGGTGTAAAGAGCTTGATGAAGTACTCTAGGTGCAGCAAAGTGCTCAGATGAATCAGGGCCACTGAATGTGAGCCAGGAGAGCCAAGTGAGTGCTGGTTTAGTTTGGCCATGTGCGTTTCCCAGCTGCTAAACTCCATGTCATAGCTCTGGAGGTGTTAGACCACGCTGCAGGCTTCAGGGCACTCGGCTGTGCCAGAGCAGGGAAAAGAAGAGACTGAGATGGAGCACAAGGGATTCGTATAGAAAAGGGAGATTCTGGGTCCTAGCTGGTGATTGTGCTCCAGGAGGTAAATAAAGGTAAGGAAAGAGAGCTTGCATTTCTTTCTTTTGCCTTGGGATTAGTACAACCTGGTACTCTATGGCTTGGGAATGCGAATGGGAAGCGGACCAAAACGCACGTGATCAGCTGAGCGTTGTCGTTCCTTTTCCTCTTCAACAAGTCTGAGAGCCTCCACTTGGAGAAACTGTCCAGTGTGAACCCTGCAGCGTGGCTCAGGAGGCATTTGTCAGCGTCTGTCCAGATTTCCAGGCCAATTAAAGCCACGTAGATGTTAATGGCCTTATAAACCTGCAGCCGAGAAACAGCGAAGGATGAAGGATGTTGCAGAGACTTCTGAAACAAGCACTGACCCCGGTGGTTGCTTCCATTTCCCACTTGAAACGGAGTCCACTCCAGGCCTGATTTAAGCTTTAAAGTTGCAAAAAAACCTGAAGAAACAGAACATGAAAACATATTCCCTCCCCCCCCCCCCCCCCCCCCCCCAAACCAATTACAAAAATGGCTTTAAAATACTTGGGAATTCCAGCAATATTTTGGAAGAAATCAAGACTCACTTAATTCTCCTTGATGGATTTCAATCCTTTTACACAAGGGTAAAGAAAATACAGTATAAATCTCTATCAAAATCTCGTATGTGAAGGCAAAGGGCAGGATAATGTGAATGTGTGTTAAATTTATTTCTGCAATGGTAATTTCCAGTTCAGTTTTCTTTCTTGTCTGTAATACTGGAAATTCATGAGGCAAAAGCAAAGGAGCTCTTCAGTCACTTGGGTTTTATTCTCATTTTGCTCTTACCGTGTTGACGTAATTGACCATTCCAAAGATCCTTTGCCTTACAGTTTTCACGTTTTTCTCATACTTCTCATACTGGCAAAGAAAACAGTGTGTTAGGGAAAGGAGAGGTAAAAACTGATGAATCAGAACAGCCCATTGAAGATTCCCTTGCAAACCCCCCCATGCCTCCTCTACTCGCTGTTATCTTTCCAATGCAGTGTTCTGTCAGACATGTTTTAAGATCAGGCTCATTTTGAATGTGTGTCTGTGAGTAGGATGCAGAAGAGGACAGCTTGTTTCAGTACTCACCAAACTGTTGTCTGCAACTATGTAGACTTCCAGATACTTTTTTGCCTTCAGGTATGCTTTCATCTAGGGAAAAGAGAAGTTTCAATGGCTTCTGAGACCTGTTGCAGTCTCAGCCTTTGCAACTTCAAGCCTTGTATCATAGAATGGTCTGGGTTGGCAGGCACCTTACAGATCATCTTGTTATGAGGGTATTTCTTTAGCCAGGCCATTTAGAATGGGACTGCTTTGTTTGAAAATGATGAAAGGTAGGCTGGCTATTAAAATGGTTAAGATTATGAAAGATAGGGTAAAAAGATAGGCCTGTACTTATGGGACTGTTGCTTGACTCGAAGGACTTACCTCTGGGCTGTTGCTGGATTTGAAGATGTCACCAGTGGGGTCATTTGAGTCTTCTTCCCAGGTATTATTGACCAGACCACAGGTTTTGATGGACTTCTGTTTGAGTTTCTCGTACTTGTAGACTGCGTGCTCATCGCTGTCTGAGGTTCCCAAGGGTTCAATGAGGTACTTCTGACCACGGGTCTCAAAATAGCCACTAAGAAAAGGAGTTAGAGTGTCACCTTTTGAATCCACAGGGCTGAATCAAGACAGCAAAGTTACCTCTAGCAGCATTTAGCCCAGGCATAGGCACCACTGCCCACACTGCCACACTGGGATGGTTTGGCAGCGTGCAGGCAGGGTGTACAGCAGTTTAAAAGCAGAAATCAAAGCTGACAAGTCAATTGGAAGATTTGGCTGCTCAGTGAATCTCTGAGACTATCAGTCAAAAATAAACTGGTTTAGCAATTAATTCCATTATATTTGGTGCTTTTGTGCTTAACAGATGTGACTGAAAAGTGAATTCCACTTGAGTGGGGAATTCAAAGGTGTTTTTCGATCTCAAACCCAGATGAAAAGCTGCAATATTGAAAGGAATTAAGAGTTCTGAATCATTTTGAGCAGCAGATGTCAAAATGAGTGCTCTGTGTTCACACATAAATACCACAAAAGGCAAGTATTGGGCAGAGACAGTCTGGGGTTTGGCCACATGCCACTAACCATGGGGGAAACGTTCTGCTGCAGCTTCTCAGACTCGAGAGCCTTCCTCTTCCCTTTTTGTATTGCACTGCTGTGTCTTCAGGGATTAGAAAGGAGTGGATTCTTCTAACTGAGCTTTTCATACAGAAGCCTAACCCTTAACTGCTGTGACACTGAAAATGATGTAGCCTTCTCTTGAGGTGTCAGTGGAGCGTCTACAGCTCAGAAGCATCAACCCTGAGTGTGAAGTGTGAGCATCATCGAGTGCTGTACATCCTGATCTAATGTGGAATTTGTTATCTAAATGTATTGTTATAGATACTTCTTCAGCTTCAAATTTAGAAACTCTGGAAGTTGAGAAAGGTAAACTTTTTCTCCCTTTTTTCCTTATAGGCATCTCATTTACATCCTGATCCTTTTTATATTGGGAAATTTATCTTCCTAGAGAATGCACATTCTGCCACTAGGAATTAAACCTCCAACTTACCTTAGGCCATTGCAGGCACTGATGCTCGCTATGGAATCAGCATCATTCTGAATGTAACCTTCATAATAACAGTGATCCTGTTTAGAAAGAAAAGATATATTGAAGTAATTTGATTTGGGCCAATTCATTGCAGTCAATGAGACGCAGCCCACTTTGACAGCTGCCAAACCACACTAGCTACAAGCTACAACAAGCTATGAATTAAGGTCCATGCAGAATAGGTGCTGTTTGCTTTTCACAGGATCCATTCAGGGGATGAAAGTAATTGGAACAATCAGAAATGGCATTTTTTTCCCACCAAAACCAACCTGATCACAGCTCTTTGTGCACATTTATTTCACTCAGGATCCTCTTGTTCCTGCTGACCACTCTGTGACAAAGGATATTAGGCTTTGTATTCCAAATCATGTGTTAAAACAAGCTGGACATCACTGGACAAAGAGCTTCAGGTGAGACCTTTGTTGAAGATCAGGCCCATGAGTGCACAGTAGATTAAGACAGAATGAGTACAGTGGCTTCCTTTGTGTCTGCATCTGAATGCCTCATTTGTCATGGCTCAGAGAAACCACCTGGGGTGACCTGCAGCACATATGTGGGGAGCGTGGGTGCCAACAGGAACCATGAGGAGATGTCTTCATCAGGATCTATGATCTCACCGAGATTAAGGGGGAAAAGCAAGTCACGGAGCTGTGCCCAACAAGCAAAGTCAGGAGGTGCAGAGCAGGGGAATGGCCTTGGCTCCGCTCCCTTTTCTGACAAAAGGGAGAGATTTGGCTCAGCAAACGTGTTCATCAGCCGTTAAGTAAATGGTGGTTGACTTTTGAAAGGCAAACAGTGTGTCTGGTTGGCAACGGGTATAAATCAGTGTAGCTCTGCCAGTCACACGCTGCCTCTTCCCTGCCTGAATCACAGGGCTTAAACCTTGCTTTAAGATCTTTCCTCTCTGTCTCATATCTGCTGTTATTGACCCATTACTATGGACCCATGAATCTCACCTTGACCTCCTCAAGGCTGCAAGTATGAGGGAAGGAAGCCTTTATTATTACCTTGATCTGAGGACTTGTGGTTATTTGTCGCCCGTCGTCAGAGTAAACTGTTTCAGTGTAGTCTCTAGCCAATAGGTGCCTGCAAAGAGCCAAGTGCCATTATTACTCAAAAGGAATTGGAGTCATCTAGAAATGAGGCAATTACATAGCACACAAAGTATGGAGGGAATGCAAATGATTGCTCAGGTTATTATTAATAGTGTTAGATTGAAAACTAGGGAAGCAAAGCTGCTGGGTGGGGAATTCTGCCGGTTTCTAATCCTTACTCAAACAAAGGGACTGTTCTAAAATAAGAAGGCAATTAAAGCCTACTTATTTCATTGCTATAAACTAATCTCCTTGTAGATCTGAAAGTAAATGTATAATTACATAGGCAGTATTGATCCTTTTTTGGCCTCGGATTTCTGTGGGCTTTTCCAGCACTCCACGTGTGAAGTGGTGCTGTTCTGGTGTCTGCCCAGTTCACCCCTACTGATTTCAGAGAGCAGAGGTCCAAGTGAAGGATGTTCTGTCTAAAGAGAGCTCTCTTTGTACCCATATGTGCTGCTGAGCCATCAAATTGAAACATGACTACAGAATAAATGACTCTGTTTCTACTGGGAGAGGTGCTTTGGGTTTCTTGTTAGCAGACACCTTTGTGATTTGCTATGGGAGGCCAGATCCTGCAAGGCTGTGTGCTTTCAGGCTCCTGTGCAGGACAGCACTAAGCAGGTGCTTAACTTTAAGCCAGGTCTGCAGTCCTACTAAACCTAGCAGCTAAGCAAGTCTCCATTCACTTCTGTTTGGGCAATTACCACAAATTGCCCCAATCCTGTTTCTTTTTAGAGTGGGATTTAGCACAATATAATTCCCCTTCCTCCCCACCCCAAATATTTAGATTAGATTAAACCAGGGCTAAACAGTTAATTATAGTCTCTATTTAGCACGAACTGATTATAGTACTATTGTATTTACACAGCCATTTGAAAAGCACTTATTACAGCAGATTTGTTTGATCCCATGTTAAGTATTACAGTGGAGCCAGCAAGCAGAAAATCATGGGTGTGCATTTTGTCAATGCAAGTGTACATCTGGCTCCTCCAAGTCCAGCAGCAGCATCGTTTGTGCTAGGGTAGGCAGTGCTGGAAGCTGAACTATTAAGGATTGTACATTTATTATTACTATTTCCCTTTTTTGCTGAGTGTACAGAGCCAGCACAGCCCCACCGCATGGATATCTTGTGCTTCTCTGTAGCTTCAGCCAGCAGAGAACAAATAAATATAACCCATAGACAAGGAAAACATGTGAAATAGTATTAGAGCATTAAACATTCAGTGGATTTAGCCACTTAGGATATAAATGAGAGAGCAGAGTTAGCAGTACAGACAGGTCATTCCATCATGGCTAACATCACCTGCATGTGTAGCTGTTCACCTTACCAAAGCAGTGACATGATGCTTTCTCCCCCTGCTTCTTACTTTTGGGTTGAAAATGTGCCTTGACCAAAATACCTCTGTCTTACAGGAGCCAAAGCACTGTTTCTTTATGTCCCCAGTGCCCTACAGAGCCATTGACAGTGAGGAATAATGCTAGAGGAAAACATTGAACTGAACCTACTTGTTCTTTTGTAGATGCAGTATGACTTCCTCTCCGTTGGCTTTGATTCCATACTCCATTGTGTCATCATATTTGGTCTGTAAACAGATTGAAGTGTTAGAATACAGGCTGCTAAGAGTTCTGGCTGTTACCAAGTCTCCAACTGCCTCCTTTCCCTCCTCTTCCCACCAAAAATAAGTATTCTGGCAGGTCCAGAACAAGCAGGAGGTCACTGGGCTTTGGATTCTTTAATTAGAGGAACAAACTCAGCTTTGCAAATGCATTTCTACGTCATGAGCACAAACCCAGCTTTACCCAATATGAGATCACTCTTCCAGCTCTTCCCTTTCATTTCCTTTTGCACGATCAAGTGTCTGGCTCCAAATCCTCTTACCCTTGAAAGCCAAGGGCACTGTGACTCCAGAAAACCTTCCCCATCTCCCCGCAAGGAAAATGATGTCTCCTAGTACCTCTTTGTTTCTCTCTACGTCTCTTCTGTGCACTGTGTGCAGTTTCCGTGGATAAACTACTTCATATTGCTCAACTTCAGGTAGCTTCTTGCTCGTGCTCCCTGGGGAGGATGAAATGCATGTTTAGGCAAGGACAGGTCTAACTTATTAAATACTGTGTCCCATCACATCCTTTTGGGCTCTATGGTCATTCATCTGTTGCACCACTTGTTTCTCATGTGTTCTCTGCACGTGCTCGTCTGCTCTGCTGAGCAGTCACCCCCATTACGTGGCCTTAAGTGAGGTTTGTTGCAGTGTGGGTTTCAGATGTTGACATACCCGGCTGTTTCCATGCTTCAAAGTACTTTATGCAATGCCCTTGGGTTTCTTTCCCCAGCATCAGTAATAGCTGGTGTGCAGCATTCAGGAAAACAGGGATGTGTTAGTCTCTGACAAGGCAGCAGCAGTTTTATCTGCCTCCTAAGCTCTTTGATGTCCTACAAAAGGGCATCTCATCTGAGCTAGCAAATTCTTGAGCACTGGACGCTAAGCACAAGAGCGCTTTGTTGTAAAAACCTCAAAGAAAGCACTAAGGACAAAGGGAGAGTGCACCTCCCATTTTAATTGTCTGCCTCAAGGTCAGGTTTTTACAGGGCTGGGGCATCCAATTGCTGTGATTTCCTGTATCTGGAACAACAGGGCCCATCCTCATGCAAATTGTGCCACTGAAATGAACAGACTGATCCTTCAAACTGGTTTATTTGCGAAGCCCTTGCCAAAAGTTATTGCAGAAATAAGTTGGTTGCATGCTGACAGAGCTGAGCGCTGGAGTGTGATAGCAGGCATGATAGTATAATGGGAGTAAGCCCCAAGAAGTTGTCTTATATCACCTGAGCACAGTGCACAGTGGCTATACATGTACAGTACTCAGTGCACAGTGGCTATACATGTACAGTGCTCAGTGCACAGTGACTATACATGTACAGTACTCAGTGCACAGTGGCTATACATGTACAGTGCTCAGTGCACAGTGACTATACATGTACAGTGCTCAGTGCACAGTGACTATACATGTACAGTGCTCAGTGCACAGTGACTATACATGTACAGTACTCAGTGCACAGTGATTATACATGTACAGTGCTCAGTGACTATACATGTACAGTACTCAGTGCACAGTGACTATGCATGTACAGTACTCAATGCACAGTGACTGTACATGTACAGTGCTCAGTGCACAGTGACTATACATGCACATGCTGTTAGCAAGCCCCAAGTGCAAGTTTGTTACTGTGATTTACAATGGTATATTTTATATTTTAAGCTATTATTTTTACTTAGAAAAGCCTCTTTTGCTTTGCAGACTTACTCTTTCCATGTGCTTAAAGCACATCCTTATGTAGCAATCCCAGTAATATTTTAGGCCCCTCAGAAGAGTTCTGTGCTTCAATTTTATCTATGTACTCCCTTTGCTGACTCTTTATGGGACAAACTGTAGCCCAGATGGTTTAAATTCAGGCTGGATTTGAATGGAGATGCAGAACTAAACTTGGCCTTTTCCTGCAGTGCAGCACAAGCAGCATTTGGAGGCAAATGGGTAGGTTTTGTGCCAGGACAAAGTGTTTCTTAGAGGTAGTTTTGGAGTCAACTCTTTATTGTCTTTGTCTGGCTTCAGGCATTGTCTTGAGTCAGTAGCTTTAAGGAGGAGAGGAATTCCTTGGGCTCTACATCAGGTGGGAAAAGTGCTCACAAGGAACAAATCAGTTTGGTCTTTTCCAAGAGCCTCAACCAGGAAGAAAAATCAGTGAGGATTTCACTGCTAATGAAGGTTTGGTTTTGTCAAGAAACAAGCTCTGTAACACCCAAAGCCATCCTCATGTGCCCAACTTCAGAGGCTCTGAGCATCTAATGAGATCCTAGAGGTACCAGCATGCAGGGCTCCCTATAGCTATGGAACCCGTGAGTGCTCGTGCGTGCCAAGCACTGCAGGACTCTGATCCCTGTTGACATGAGCTGGAAGAAACAATGCACGTGGAAACAACAGCGCGGGCTGTTAAGGGTAAGGCAAGTGAATACACACAACCTGCAGTACCACAGAGCTGATAAGGGCACTAAGAGTTTGGATTCAGGGAATGTCATTAACCAAATTCAGATAGAAGTCTTTTGTCTCTGTAATGTATATACAATGCAAATGTATATACAAATACTAAGTGCTGTCAGTGTAGTAAGTTGTCCCAATTGGATAAATTGCCCACTGACTTGCAGAGGAGGTTATTTCCTAACTGGCTCACAAAACTAACCGGTTCTGGGTCTTTAGGCAATCCATGGCCAGTTGTTCCCCTAGTAAATACTTCCCTAACTAAAGAATTTTAGGTAATTGCTTTGAATAGAAAGAGAGAAAAAAACAACCATCCCGACCTGCAGCAGGACCACTCTTCCCATGGCTTTAATCCACTGTTCTTCTGCGTTATCTACGTGTTAATCATTACAAATTCCATAGCAGCCACCGGTAAAGGGTTTCAAAGCATGGAATCCATACCTTGTTGGAGCAAATGTAGCAAAACAGCAGCCAGAAGCGGGGTGAGAATCATCTCAGGTGTGCTCGGCCAGCGATGGTCGCGGTGGAGGGGAGCGCCGGGCTCCCAGGCTGTGAGCAGTCCTCCCTCGTGCACTGAATGAGAGGAGAGGGAGCGAGTTGTTCAGCTTGGTTCTTGTTCCTATATGAGGAAGTGTTTACTAAAGGTGTTGCACAACTTTCAAGTCACAGACTGTTACAGCAAGCGGAAGTTCCTGCTGGTTAGTGCATGTCACACGAATAGTGATGTATTGATTGCTCCTTTCAAAGAGGTTCCCTGAAAGTCTCCAGTGTAATAAATAAAGAGGGAGTTGGAGGGGTCCTAAAGTTCTCTTTTTATACCCTGACTGGTAAAAAGCTATGACAGAAACAGTGGGTGACAAGCGAGGAATGGGAAGGTTTTCAAGAGGTTCAGGGTAAAGCAGGTAGACAGGGTTTGTGTTCAAGACGTGTTTCAGTTCTTGCTGTTGACCCTTTAATCTCTGTCTGTGAATCATACTTGCAGTGTAAACACTGAGTAGGTGCTTCTCTGCCTTTTCTATATTAGTAATGTTTGCTCGAGGTTCGTGTGATAACATCTCACTAAAAGGGGATGCAGACAGTGAGCAATCAAGGTGGTATCTGTCAAATAATGCTCTAAAAATCTGTGCTAGAAGCTTACCACATGGACATAACCTGTTGTAATGAAATAGTACTGTGTGCTTCTTAGGGCACAGCTTTCAGTGCAGAGCCATTTTATAGTTTAACTTCTTAGCTGTTAGAGCAGGTTTTACAGAGTGCATGGCACTAGAATGGATCATGCTGTATACTTCAGTATAGGAATATAAATCTGTATTAGCAACACATGTGCCAGCTTTATATATTCATCTCTTATAGTCATGTCTAAATAAGTAACTATTGAAGTGAGCCTTCCCAGGACAGAGCTGCGACCTTACCCTCCTGGGACTGGAATGTGGCTTTGGTAGCAGCTCCATTGGGACACTTTAGCTTGGAGACAGCGAGCTTGCATTCTGTAAGAAAAGTCACATACCATAGGAACCCGTAATGCATCCCGGGTTAGGAAAGAGCACTTCAGGCAAAGAACTCATGAAGCATCCTTGGGAAGAGGTTGGGCATCGCCCTGCCAAGGTGTTTGTTTCATCAGGGAGGAGCTGGGTCATCTATGTTGGTGTCTTTTTAGTTCTGATATGATAAAGCTTAGTCTAAAAGGTAGACAATTTGGTATTAGAAACATTCTATGGATGGAAATAAGCAGTGCAGCCTTGGACTAAATCTTACAAAGATAACTAAGACAACCGAACTTTGGAAATGAGTGGCTGCTACCCCGACATTCATCTCAGCTCATTCTCTCTGCATGATGCTTTGGAAAACCAAGCACTGACCTTACCAACCTCCAAAACGAATGTTCTTATGAAGCTGTGCTTTCATATGGTGTAGAAAGGAGAGTTACTTTATGAATAGACACCGCATACCAACAGAGAGCTGGCAGTAAGAAGAGGAGGGGATGTGGTGAAGGTCTTGGGTAGACCTGAAAGGGAATTGGGTGTAATTTCCTTCTGTGAGTTAAGCAGCATTTGGTGTTTCTGCCCTTGATTCCGTAACCATCCGATGGTGGCTTCTTCCTGCAGAGGTGGAGAGGGGTGTGCCTGACAGGAAAACTGCTTCTGGCTCTTTGAAACCCCTTTACCATTGTAAAGCAGTTTGGATGGTCACAGCAGGGTAAAACTGACTGACAAGATTGCCTCACCATTCAGTAACTGGGGTATCAATGGTTTTGACTCAAGTGTGGTCTGCTCAATGAAAAGAAGGAAGCAGTAAGGGGTGGAATTCACCTCTGCTGAGATTAAGCTGAGTCTTAGAAGTAAAATGTGCTGGGCACTAGGCTGAGCTCAGGAAAAACCAGGGTTTGAAGCCCTTCTCTGCTTCTGCCTTGTCCTAAGGTTCACTTTGAACCGGGTTTACAAAGGTATTAATGCACTCCAGAGGGATTTTCAGGGAGTGGTAAACAACACGTGCGTTTCCCCTGCTCTTCATTAGGTACATGTAAGGACACCCATAGAACCACTACAGACAGAGATAAGCAGTTGAGAGAGATAATTCAGTTCTTCCATCTATGTCTGCTTGTTCCCTTCTGCATTCCCCCTGTCTGACCCTGGCACGAACAGCTCAGTAGCTCTGCCTCTTAGCTCAGCATCCACATCCTCTTCCTCTTGGGAGCAGGCTCAGGGAATGGATGTTGTGTTTCACACACCACAGCCGCCACCAGGCCAAGCTGGGGCTCTTGGCTCGGCTCTCACGGTAACCTGCCCTCCGCCCTCCTTCCTTTGCTTCTCCCAAGCTTCCACCCAAGCCAGCCTCCAGGCTGTTTTTCTCTGATGCACAAACAGAACCACGGGGCTTTGGCATCCGAGCTCCAGCCCTGCGCTCCTCATTGCTTCCTCCATCTGTTCGTGGCTGCGTTCCACTCTCCCCACAACCTGCCTCTCCATGCCAGCCCCAGCCCTTCCCCTCCATCCCCATTGCTGATCCAAACCCCACTGAAGTCAACAGAAGACCTTCTATTGCTTTCCAGGGCCCTTGGATCAGCTCTGCGATTCCTCTTTAAACCTACTCCTTGCATAAAGCTTTTTCTTGTGCTTGCCTCTGTTGTCCCACCCATTCCCAAAGTTAATCCTCCTGCTGTTCCTCCCCTACCAGTCTTCAGTGGTTTGTCCTTATTTTCTGGGTTCCTGTTGAAGGCTATCATCAGATCGCTGCTTTAGACCTATTTGGAGTGTTTGGAAAAGTTATTTCCCTTCTTCCTATTACTTACCTGCTCCTCAGCAGCACTTGGCTACACTTAATACAGGGTTTAATGCAAAGTGAAATGCTTTCACCTCAGCTGTGGTTGAAACTCACTCAGCAAGCCCCAGCCAAGTTATTTTTGGTGTGGCTCTAGGCAGCTCACCGACAGTCATCTGAGTTTGACTAATGAAACCTCATCACAAACTCCTTATGTCTGTCGCCCTTTCTTGCCTCGGAGAGCATTGTAGACATATATGGTTTGTTACAAGCGTGTTCTTCCTTCCCTTTTCTTCCAAATGTAACACAAGAAATGGTTGCTTCATCCTCTTTCTGTATCAGTCTTTGTTAGCTGCATTTTGCTTTGTTCTCCTGCACCAGTGTCCTGTAGTACCTAGAGTAGCAGTGCTGTGCAGGCTGTAGGTGCTGGAAGGTCCCGTCGGTGCTTGGAGGTACTGAAGGCACAGACCTTTGACATATTTCTTAAGAACATCTCACAGTTTCCCAACGTGATGAAGGTGAATTCTTGAGGGTTCACACTTCTCAGAAAACACGCTTCTGGCTGTGCCATGCGTTGTGCAATTGTGTGCACACGCAGGAGCTGTTGGATGTTCTCCATCTGCACAGCAGGGGTGACAATGCAGGTCATTGTGAGTTGAGGACCGTGGGCTTAGTTCCCCTTCACAAGTGTTGCTTCTTGTATTGTTTGCACTTGTGGCATGTGAGGTCTGGCTTGCTTTTCCCAAGGGACCAGGGCATCCTGAGTGCTGTGACATGGTGTCTAGCACGATTCTCTGCTGGCTGGCATCCATCCGGGGCTCTGCTTGCTGTGTATGAGGGCAAAGAGTGGCTCAGTTCTTAGAGCAGGGGTCTAGGAGGGAGAAGGCTGTGGAGACACCTACTTAGAGCTATGCAAGGCAATGTGTGTCCAATGGACCCACACATTAGACCTCCATTGACTGAACCTCATCTCTGCCCATCCTCTCCCTCCTTCACCCCTCCATTGTCCATGGAAAGCCCTGCACCTGCCTGCTCTGCTGCTGTCCTGCCAGCTCTGCCACAATCCGGCCTTTCAGCTCAAATCCTTTCCCTTTGGAGAGAGCTGGCGAGCCCTGGAGCATCCAGACAAGAAAGGGGAAGCAGGACTATTTTACCTGGATGACCTGGCCTAGTGCCTCCAGTCTGATGGACTCCAACTGCTTCCCACACACAGAGAGAACGTTTTATTGAGTCATCTTGCTCTGTGCTTGAGGCAAGAGCATGGACAAAGGAGCAACTGTCCAACCTGAGCTCCCTCTGCAGCAGGAGGTTTTTCCTGGCATAGGGAATTTGATGTAGTTACTGACAAAGAGCTCCCAGTGTGGACAAGGCTGTGCTTTGGACCAGCAGAGTAAAGGTGCCTTCTGCTCTTAAGCAAGCCCTATGGGTACAGGTGTGATTGTGTCTATGTCAGGATGCCATGCCTAGCACATCCTTATGTGGTACCAAGTACACACTGTAAATATATTGGGCTTTTACATCAAATGCAGCTTCTCTGTCTGTTGCCCAGGTCTGTGAAGGGTGGTTTTCCATGCTGTTGTGATGTGAGCAGCTGTAATGAATGTGGAAAAGGGAAAAAACCCAACAGCCACTGACGAGCTGGAGCAATTATGGATCCTTTGGCTATAGGGGATTGCAGCACTCGAATGTTTCATTACCTCTTGTGTTATCTTCATTAAATAGGCCTTGAAAGTGTTATTCGACAACAAGCAACTCCTGGTCAGTGTAATAGGATAGATCAAGGGGTTGAACTGCACTCCTTCCTGAAAGATGGACATCTCTGATTCAAATCATCTCATTTTACTTGTCCAAGCTGCTGTGCATGCTCCAACTGCTCTCAGGCAGTCCCTGAGCCTTTTCTTAGGTGCCAGCATGTACATGATGTATTCAGAATGCTGGACTACGGAGGGGAGTTGGGGTTCTTTTGCTTTTCCAGGGGGCTGCGTGAAGGGTGTTGCTTCCAGTGCTGGTACTGAAGGGTCCAATGTGTCTTTCAATGCCATTCCTGAGGGGGTGATTCCAAGGAACTTCTAAACAGCTCTCTTTGCTGGGACCTCATCCTGTTAGACAGGAGGCACAGAGGGCTTGCCAACTCACATGGTTTTATGGGGAGTCTCAGTCCCTTTATTGCCTTCCCTGCAGCCTTGACCCCTGGAATCATGTGAGCAGTTGTCAGCCTCAGCCTTCAGTTGTTATTCTTGTTATTGTACTGGAAAAGAAAGCAGTTTTCTGGGTCTTGGGGATCCTGAAAACCCAAACCTGAGCACCGCAAACTGAGAGAGCACATAAAAAGGACTCAAACTCATTGTCTGTTGCTGTTAATCTCCTGCTCTCGTTGTTATTTGTTTAGGCCTGGCTGATGGTTTTGAATGCTGGGGGTTGGCAGTCCTGAATCCTCACCTGAGCCTTTCCCTTTCACCAAGAAGCTGCAAGCTGCCCCAAGACAAAAGGTGAATTAAAGCATTGATTTAATCCCGGTTTGCACATGGAGGAGAGTTTGGGATTAAGGATTCAAGGTCTCATAGGAGGTCTCTGGTGACAAAGAAACAATTTCAGATCCTCTAAGCCTCAGTGTTCTCTGCAGCAAAGTAACCTAGAGCCTCCACTAATGATGCTGCATTGCTTCTGAGCAGCTCAGAGAAAGCTATTTCTAATGTTTGCATATATACATAAAACATAGAAATATGTGTATTAGGGTTAGGGTTATATGTATATTATATATATATTTTATACATATATATTTGAAGGACTATTTAAATGATATATAGATATGTAATGGATGTATATAATAGATAAATGGGTATAAATGAGAGCTGCAGTGATTTGTACATGGAGGGGTCAGTTCTGAAAGCATCATTCCTGGACCCAAAATACCTCTCTTTGAGAAGTGATCCCTGCCTGCCCGCTCCTCCTGGGATCAGGAACCCATGTGGGGTGGATCGTGTTCCTCCTGCCACCCTGCACATGCCCTGGGAGGAGGACAGGCGCAGAGCCTAGGAGAGAAGGAACAAAGGCAAGGCCCAGCGGGGCTGTTTGCTCTTGCCATGCGCTGCTGTCTTTCATCAGATAAGGCTGTGGCCACACAGTGGAATATTCCCAGGCAGAAGACAAACACCAACCTGCTTGGGTTTCATCTGCCCCAGGGACGTGCCTGCCCCTCCAGTCATATGATAGGGAGCTGGCTGGGATTCCCATGCAGAGAGGGCCTTCTGGTTTCATCCTGCTCTAAGGCGTGCCTCGTGCTGCAGGTAGATTTTACCCACTAAGGACTTAGGGGGGGATGAAGGGATCTGGAATCAGGAGTAAGTGGTATATCATAGGTAGGTTGTTGCTTAGGACGTGAGACACAGGAGGGCTGCAAGAGACAGGAGCCATCCACGTGAATGACACCGTTGGTGGCTGGGGATGGGCAGGTTGGCAAACTCTTGTGTTCCCTCCCCATAACTGCATCTTCAAACAGGAGCACCAGCTTAGTCCGTTGGCCTGCCCTGTCCTCACTCTGTGTGTAAACCTCAGCTGATTCAGAATGTACCAACTTGCATTTATTTGCCTTTCTAAGCTGGAACACAGCCAGGCTTTAATTGATGTAACCCAGCCAAAACTGATTTACCACCTTTTCCTGCTTTCCCTGTGACTTTTGGCCTGCTGGAGTATTTTAATTGGAGGCAAAGCAAAGACTGGCTTCGAAATTACATTTGTATGGGGGATGTTTTGAACCGTCCTGTTTGAAGAGCACATCTGCTGAGTGCCAAGCCAAACGCACACAGGGCCAGTCCACAGAAAAGGCTCTTTCAAATGATTACCTGCAGAAGGTAAAAGGAAATCACGTAAAGCAAACTTCCAAAGGCATTTAATTGAAAATCAGCATTACAGAATGCTCTATGTTTGTTACCCAAGTGCTTTTGAGCTGTTAATCCATGCTTTCCTCTATTATTGCTGTTTTAATCCTGAGAAACAATGAAAACCTGTTTTAAAGAATAGACTTAGTGACATATGTCATCGAGATAGCAAAGAGCATCAAAGATAGATAGAGAGCATATCTTAGCAAAGAATTATCTTAGATAATTCTAAGAGATATATCTTAATATATATTCTATATAGATGTATTCTAAAATATATATCTTAGATAGCAAAGAAGATAGCACTCCAGCTTAGCGCTCCATCTTAGGGCTGCAGAATGGCAGGAGTCCCAAGGTTAATGCTGACAGGCAGTTCCTTGTGGAGTGGCTCTGGTTGTTGTGATCTTCCCTTGTATTAGTGCAGCTCTTGGCTTCGGGTGACTTTTCCAGGCTCCCACTCCTGCTCACCTCATTTAGTTGAGGTCCTGACAGCCCTGATAGTATCAGTAAAGATTCCCTGAATCCCTGTGCTACATTAATGTGCTGGGAGCAATTACTTAGCTTAGTAAATAGTGGTGGAGATACTTAAGTGTTTGCTAATACCGTTCAAACACAGGCATAAAAACATTAGTATGAATGAGAGGTAAGACCTCAGTGACTCCTTTTCTACTGCCTCAACTCCATTCCATAGGGTGATGGCTTTAAATCTGTGCCGCTTTAAACAAGTCATGGGAGAACAACCCATGCATTTTGAGCAGTGTTACCTGTTCCCTGTGTCCCTAAGCTGAGCTGTGTCATGGAACCACAGCGTGGTTTGGCTTGAAGGGACCTTAAAGTTACCCAGTCCCAAAGCCCCTCTCCAGGTTTCTTGTAGCGTAGAAATATAGAACTGTAGAGCTCATGTACAGGAAGAAACGTGAAAACAACCCCAAATTCTGCTGTGGGTTTGAACGTGTGGCCCCTCACCTGGGTCTTCATTTATTCAGCATTTAGAGGCTTGGTTTGTGGTCTGCCTGGAGATAAAGGAGGAGGAGAACACGCATGGGCACCAAGATTACAAAGCCTTTAGGTAAATACCCCATGAGATCAGTGCTTTTGTGGGGGGGGCAATGTCTCCAGTGGGTTTAGTTGAACATTCCCAAGCTCCTTTCTACAGATAAGTCTGGTGCAGAGTTTTGAGCCCTGATCTGATGCTTGGGAAAACGAAGGTGGCTTTTTTTCCCCTCTCTCTTTTTGTTTCCAATCACGAAAGTTTGGGAAGGGCCAGGATAACCTTGGATTCTGGCTAAAATAATAATCGGGAGCCAGAGGTTTGGGGTGTGTTTTTGAAGTTTTATTAAACTTTGGGGAAATATTGACCAAAAATAAAGTGGTTTCTTCTGAGCATCCTGGCCTGGGTGAGCTCAGTGCAAAAAGTGCCAGAATGCCCCAAGAAAGGCAGATTTTGCAGCATTTCCAAGCTCTCCAGTGCCATGGATAGTAAAACAGAGAGAGAAATGTTACAGGGTTGGAGGAATAAGATGTTTGGGGATACAATTGCCCAGTATTCTACTAAATGAACTCTGTCACGTTTAAGGGGTTTTGACAGCTGTAGAACAGAGCAAAAACTGAATAAAAACCCTTTATATTCATGCAAAAGTCACAAAATTGATGGAAGATTTTAGGATGAGTCCTACAGGGAGATGAGTAAAAGTGGACACAAAGCTGCTCTAAGGTCTTCCTGGAATCGTGTCTGCTCCAGGCTGAACAAGGCCAGATCTCTCAGCCTGGCTCCATAGGAAAGCTGCTCCATCCCTGTGATCATCCCCATGGCCTCCTCTGGACTTGCTCTAACAGCATCCCTCTTGTGTCAGGGCTGTTTCAAGAGCTCTGAGCCCTATTGCAGAACAGTTACCACTGGATCCAGAGGAGCTGGAGGGGCTTGTGGAAAGGACAGGGTCTTCCCCAGGTCATTTATATCCATACTTTTTAAAGATCCTAGGATTTCTGTGTCCCCAACTTCCCACTTCTTTATGTGAAAGGCAGATATGCAGTTCCCATGCAGCTCTCTATAGGTCTCTGGTTCGTACCTTATGGAGGTTTTCTGCTTGTTGCTAAGAAGAGTGTGGTGTGGTTGACAGCTCCTGCAGCACCCAATGTCTGTCTGGTTCAGACTGGAGCTCACAGGTCATTGCTGCTCCATGGCAGCGTTTCCAGGTTGAATTAAGAGTAGTTCTGTTCCATTAGTCTTTGACCATGCAAGAGCATACCAGGCAGGGGGAAGAGCCTAAGGGTAGGCACCTACTTGTAAGCTCACATAATATGCTTTTTGTTGGTGCCACTGTCTAATTCTATATAATCTTGTACTCTGGCAGCCCACCCTTATCCTGAGGAAAGGATAGTGCTCTTCTGAGAAGAATGGGTACTGTAATGAACAATGCAAAATGCTGTCTGTGTTAGATACACCCACTGATAGCTGCAAGATGGGAAACAAAAGCTTCTCTGTGATGTGTGTGAGAAAACCTGGTGCTTGTGGTGACTTTTGGATAGAAAACATATGGCAGTTTACCCCCTAAATGAAGCAGGGACATCCCTGGAGTGAGGTTCTCTGTTCCTTGCCCTTTTTACATTGGTTAGGGTAGAAATACCTGCAGATCGTGGGTTGGTTTTCACTATTGTCCCCATTACATTCTGTTCAGTATATCCCGTGACAAACTAGTGGGTTATCACCCGCTTTCCATCTGTGGAGCTGGAAGTGGCATCCCAGGGGATGCTGCAGCGCAACCTCTCTGACCTGCAAGGCCCATGGGCATGGCGTGTATTGGCAGGCACAGTTACACATCCCTCAGAAGCTGTCTGAGGGTGGCCTGGGGCAGTGGACAGGCAGGACATGGAGCTCCCCAGGCCTGAACTGTTCTGGGGACCTCTCTTTCCATGCAGGGTAGGTTTTGCTGTCAGCTCTCATCGACACAACCCCCTTGGACCAGCAGCCAGCTTCTGATGGGAGGAAGAAGGCGAGAGCCAGGTCCCAAAGACATCTGCCAAGATAACAGCCTATCCAAACAGGTCTGTTTGTCCTGCAATTTGTTCAGTAAATGGCCCTGTCTAAATGGAATTTGATGGGAAGTTATTCCAGGCACTGAACATGGTTTACAAATGTGCACAGCTTCCATGCATCTCCCTATTTGAATTAGAGCAAACCTCATCCTTAGAAGGTATTATTGTTGAAATCTGCCTTATTGATCAATGCCATGAAAGCAAATTTCTACAACATCAGCATTTGCCAATGATTTAGGCCAGGAAATCTCTGCTACATCATTGCTATTTGCATTCATTAGAGTCTGATTAGATTCACATAGTCTTCAAAAGGTTCTGGTGTAAATTGAAGTCTTGCCATAGAGGTCAATACAATGAATCTGTCATTCTTTCTGTTAAACTCTTAAACTTGAATCCTCACTGCTGTGCCCTGTTTAAAATGAGCCTGGTCACTTTATACTTTTAAAGCTTTGGATAGTCCCAAGCGTGGATAACAGAGGGAATAAGGATAGAGGGTGAAGCCATAAGAGAGCTTTTTGTTAGAGTTTGGTAGCCTGGTCTTGCTGGCTTGTCCTCCCAAATACTGCCCAGAGACCCACCTGCCTCTATGGCAGCAGCAGCTCCTCTGCAAATAAGGCACCTTTGCCCTTTGAAATCCATTTTTGGCTGGGATGCACTTCCTGAGCGTTTCCTTCCAGCTTCTAGCTCCGACACAATGCAGGCATACATGAGCACCCATCCCTCTAGTGCTCCACTTCTTGGACAGGCTGAGCCTTTCTGCCCCACTCTGTAAGTGGCCATGCATTAGAGCTGCCTCTTCCTTAGCTCTGCATTGCAAACAGGCTCTACAGGAGATGCAGTGTAAGTGAGCTGAGGGGACAATGGAGAAAGCCACGTACACAGGTACACAGAGACAAGGAGGTTTCTGTGCATAGAATCATGGAATGGTTTTGGTTGAAAGAGACCTTCAAGCCCTTCTAGTTCCAGCCTCTTGTTCACGCTGCTGGTGAAGCAGCCCAAGGACATGGGTGGTTTCTGGGCTACATGTATACGCAGAGAAGGTGTTCAGTGTCTTGATAGAGAAAGTTCTGATTTCTGGGATGAAAAAAGACTAAATAGGGCTTTTCTTACCTTTAGGAATGTATGTTTTATCCCTTGTCCTATGATAATTTTCTGAACTTCTCACTCGTGGGACTAGGTAGCTTTGAGGTCTCTTAACTGCTCAACCACCTCAGTAAGGCTTTTA